CGCATTCATATTGAACACCTTCTCCTTCTAGTACTGCCACACAAACCTGCATTAACCATATGGCCTGGCTACCTACTTCCCCGGGATACAGCGTACGGTCATGGTCATTATAGTATCTTTCAGTCTAAATACAGCTATAATGACCGTACGACGTACGTTGTATTCGGGAGAAGAAGGTAGTTGCAGCTTCCCCAAGGCCTATCAATCCAGATTGACTGTTTCCTTCGACATCCCGGAAACTGGGGAGCCCTGTGCGAAACAGCCTGAGGGTGGTCGAATAGCCAATAGCCAATAGCCAAGCCATGCGCGAAAGCATTCTCAGACAGCCAAACAACCAAAGATCTGCAAAACGAGGTACAAAGCACATCGCAAGATAGCCAAGAGAGCGGGAGGGGAAAGTACCGGAGGAAGGTAGAGGGTGAAGAATGGAAGTATTTGGGCATGGATAAGGCCAGGGGCCTCCACAAAAAAAACAAAAAACAAAAAAAAGGGGGTGTCAAGCAAAACCTGGATGTTGCGGGCATGCTCCTTTCGGAGAAAAAGTGCAAAGGACTGAAAGCAATGTGGTGTGAGTGAGTTGAAAAGAGATGAGTATAAGAGTAAGAAGGGTAGAAGGAGGTGGGAGATAGTTCCCCCAGGAAGGGGTTGGAGCCATTGGTACAGCTAGGAGCATACTTGGGAGAGAGAGTTCCTAGGGGAGTTGAGCCAGACTTCAGCTGCTCTTACTTAGCTTGTCATAGCAGGCTGCCGGTCTTCCAACTTGATACCTTTTTTTTTTTTTTTTTTTTTTTCAAACAAATGCTCCAGTCTATTCGTGGGGAGCAGCACTCTTGTGTATCTTTTTTTTTTTTTTTTTTTTTTTTTGAAAGAACAACCCCAGTGGACGCTAGGGGTGCTGGTAAGAGCAGGCACCACTACCTTCTTCCCCGGAATACAACATATGGTTATTACAGCTGTCTTTGAGGCATCGTTCAGTCTACATACAGCTGTAATGACCGTACGTTGTATTCGGGGGAAGAAGGTAGCGTTCCCGGGCACGATCCATCTATCGGTGGGTACTCTTGTGTATCGGCGGTTGTGCTGATAAGGCATCATTTCCTCCGAAGGGTGGCCTAGAGGTCCTCTGATATGACTATGCTAAGGGCTCCGACGGAGGGCCCAATGAAAGGCAAAGGGTATGGAGGTTTGGGGGTACTTATGAAAAGGGTTGATTTGAAAGTGGTTGACCCCATTAGGGCATGCCATGTGGGCATCTTATCCTCTTGAATGTAGGGGTGGCATTGGGCGTACATTCGTGGTACCCTGACTTTTTCGTGGAAGACTTTCGTCCATCCATTTGTTGGCAACAACGCCAGACTTGTGCGCCCGTCTGGGGCTGTCTCTTATACACATCTAGATGTGTATAAGAGACAGGGAGTACTGAGGTAAATGTAACTAAGAGCACCTTACATAGCGGTGTTTTTTTTTTTTTTTTTCTTCTTTTTGAAAGGCTAATGTGTTCACTTTTCCTTGTTCTGCTTTGTCTTGAACGGTTCGGTCAAGGGCCGAAAAAGTCACATGCCACAACTATTGCCCAGGATGGCTTCTATACAAGGAGCTCCCGTCGCTACTAGCCAATGCGGTTTGCTTAAGGACAGGTCCATACAGGGTTGGGCGGTTCATTCTTCACGGGTCCCATTTTGCATCATGGCAAGCGTAGTCGTGCAATACGCTTCCCTTCATGCGAGGCAATGCACTAGCGCATTGCACCCCCCATCATCCTCATCATTACCGCTCTCTCTCTCTCTCTCTCTCTCTCTCTCTCTCTCTCTCTCTCTCACACACACACACAC